CCACTTGTGAAAGTCTAAGAGGTCTGCATCTGTTTTGAAACAAAGGACTTACTTTCAGTCCCATTTTCTCCAATTTCTTGCCTTTTGTGTAGCCCGGAGTACCTGAATCCAGTAGGAACAAACTAATTCCATGGGCAATAGACTTTGCATTAGGATTTGTGACTGCTGCAATAATTGCTAAATCTGAAAGATAGCCATTAGTGATCAGTGTCTTGGATCCGTTGATGATCCAATCGCTTCCGGCTCTTTTCGCGGACGTCTTTAGGCCTTGCAGATCACTGTAAACAAAAGGGAATACCAAAAGAATACATATTTTATAAGATGAAATGTAAAGTTTCGCAAGAGCCTGCATATTATCTGTAAAATTGACCATTTTCGCTTATTAATTCTGCAACTCTTAAGGACATATGGTTAAATGGCTATAAACTCAACAGCTGAAGGAAAATCAGGATGAGAGAATTGTAGATTTGGTTTACTCGGAACCGATGGAGAATTAGCGGGCCATTATGACCGATGAGTAGTGCAGAGCAGTCAGTATGCTACATTTCAAAGACCCTCTATCAAATAAGCGCAAATTTTAGATTTGCCAATACATTTTTTTTCATTTTTGCCAAATTCACATTTTATATTTATCTTTATTAATCGAAGTTGCAACACCGATAATTTGGCGATGCTGGGTTTTTATCTGTTATTTGACAGATATCTTTAAAGCCAAGAAACCAGTCCTCGATAAAATCCATTAAACTCTACATCATGTATAGTAATTAAGTAGAATGGCAACCAGACATCATTTTTAACTTAGTATGTTTAGAATTTTTTTGAGGAAGTTCTTTCAGGCTCCAAAAATATCTTCCCATGACAAATCAAATTCCCTCTGTGTCGCAGGAGAGTGTCGTTCTAGCAACTCCTTCTTTCAGTTTTCAGTTATGCTAGTTTGCGAAACCCCTATATTTAATTTTTTAATAAAATTAAGGATTCAATGGCAGGAAATCACAAAAATTCTCTTCGAAATTCAGCTAGCAGCAGACTTAACTTAAATCAGCAAAACATTCTCAATATCATAGCCCATGTGAATATGACTATTGAAGTGTGGCAACTCAACCTCAAATCGAAATTTTTAATGCCAATCTTACTCTGGAATGATTTAAGGATATTCGATTTATTATGATAA